CAATTTTGTTGCAAAATTGGACCGATCGAACCATATCGTCGTCCCATTCCTGTGACATCTCTTGCAGATCCAAATCAGGGATACAGTATATTTTATATATACAGTTTCAGAAACCCGCGATGCCGTGAATCCGCGTAAGATGAACCGCAAAATAGCGAGGGACTACTGTACTTATAATTAAAGAGATGCCTGATTCCTTTAAGATGCAAACTTAAGAGCAGTGAGAGCAGGACATATGCATACGTATGAACTAGAGAAGTGAAGGGGTAAGAGCTCTGTGGGTGATCATTAACTAGTACTTAGTAATTCTTTGTCTCCTTTTTATGTAAGAATAAATTGCTTTTGTCCAGTAGGTTTTATAGTCTCAAGTAAGTCATACAAACGCCAAGTATGCAGGTTTCTTAGTGTTGCAAGTTTATTTCACTGCCTTTGAATTTACCCATTACTATAATTGAAATGCATTTATTGAACCTTCTCTCCTTTTATGTTTAGTTTTGGTTTGTTAATCAATGATAAAACTGATGACTGCTAAAGTAATCAGGTGTAAGAGGCAGGAATGGCTAATTCTATTACTATTATTAACTCAACACTAGTGCACCGATGTTCTAAGGATTGTCATATCATAAAACTAACAATTTGCTGTCAAAATATACAAAATTTCACAAAATGGAATTGGATTAAATTCAAAGTGACTGCCTTTTCAAATTATTTATTAAGGTAATCGGTTCAATCTGGTCAAAGCTCATCATCCATTAAAAACACTTTTGTTGCCCATATATTTTCCCCCTGACCTCTGTGAAGTACTGTTTTGACAGCAAAGTGAAATCTATGCCTTCAACGGACCTTGTCCGAAATTAAATTGCGGCAATCTTCTAAAGGTGAACAATTCCACTGAGCCTCTCTCAAGCCATGACAAAGACCAGACAGGAGTTCCCTGTCAATACACAGAAGCTCAGTTCCTACAGGAATAATACCACATGGGAAAATCAGTTGGCCCACACACCATTAGGACGAGGCTGAAGGTTGGGGTGCCTTGCCTCCCCAGTTTAAGCTTGGGTGGGTGGGTGTTGTAGCGTCTGTCAAGGCCAGGGGTCTGTGTGATATTAGCCGTCTGCCAATCTGGCTTGGGGAATGGACACCAAGTAATTACTCCTGCTCTTACTGCCTCATCAATCTCCCTGTATTGCTCCGGCACCCCCAAACACACTATCTTTTTCAGGCTCTTCTGCAAAGAAACGGGGAGAAGAGAGGTATCTAAAAGAGTAGAATGGAAGAAACGATGAAGTGACAGAACACCACTGAACCAAAATGAGATCCATTAAAAAGCTACTGGGAAAATCCAGTGACACCGCAAATATAGATCTAAAATAACCTTCCAGAAGTAAAAAAGGGGTATTAAACAAGAAGAGTGAACCATTCTTGTGTTTTTAAAAAGCTAAAAAATATGTTTGACAGAATCAACTGAGTTTTATTTGTGCTATATTTTTTATACCACAACAGCATTTGGCTTGAAATGCACTAAGCACCTTCCATCATAAAAATATAATAAAAAGCTTCCCACAGGTTTCTCGCAACTCATGAAATTTTATGGCTTAATCCCAAATTGAGCACTTTAAAAACTAATAATAATTAAGTACCTTTAATGAAGCATGTGAGCCTCTAGACTTCATATAACATAGCTCTTGATCATCATGGCATCCAGGTGAAATTGAAATGATGTTTCCATACATGTTGCTACTGACATGACTGACTTTTTAATCGAGTAAGTTTTAATCGAGTTCCATGTGAATAATGTTACTGTCTTGTTAATGACATGCATTTGTGTTTTGACAATTACAAGTCTATAATTTTTTATAGACTTGTAAAATTATAGACTTGTAATTCTATAATGTGATTTGAGCCATTTGGTGAAATTGTATTCAAATGTAGATAACAAAACACTGCAGCTCTTTTGTAATTACAATTTTACCCAATATTAACTCAAAAGATTAATACAATTCAACTCAAACCTTCAACCTGTAGGTTTGACCCATTAATACAAACTAATAATATACAAATATGTCCTGCTATTAAAATTGGCTTAAATAGATATTTGATGCAAATTTGCAGAATACTGGCAAAATAAAAATGGCCGTCTTAGTGTTTTTAAATATTTTAATTCAGTTTATGTATAATGATAAATTTAATGTCAAATCTATTGTTCATAACTGTAATGACCACAGACTTTCAGAATAACAATATCCTTCGTGTAAATGTCATTGTTGTAACATATGATTCATAAAAAAATGTTGCAGATTAACGGTATCCTGCAGACATGGTTATCAGATAGCTGATTTAAAGTCATACACAATGTTGGTGTAGGTTGAACTCTTCTAAATGAGAGGAGTTTCTTAGCACATATGTGTTAAGTAATTAGTATAGTGCCAGTAATGTTAATTAAAAATATATATACAAACATAGAAGAGCAGGACAAGAGCAGAACAACAGTATGAATAAGATTCACTGCTGGAAACACACGAAGAAAGAAAGCGGGGAGAAAAGCCTCAATCACATCCAAACTAAACGAAAAAACAAGAAAAAAAACAACTTCTGAGAGTAGCTGCATCGGCTTGTGGGAGAATTTGGCATTAGTTGTCCCATTGCAGCAAGATCTATTTTTACAGCAAATACCCATGGGATGAAAAACAGAAGTGAGTTGGAGCAAAGTCACCGGCTCCAAACTTTGATCACTTACAATCTCTCAGGGTGCTTAAATTTAGCATGTGAAGAGTATCTTTAACAACACAAAAGTACAACATGTTATGAAAATGCAGGTCATAATCAGCGTTAGAACCGTGAACAACGCAAGCACTGTTTTAAAATGGGGGTGTTTTAGGAGAGAATGGGGGGTTGTGGCATTTGTGCAGAACATTTCCTTTACAATGAAAACGATCTAACCAACTGCAGCACTCAGAGGAATTCACCTCCCATCCCCCACGCCCCTCCTCCCCCACCACCATTACATTACCATATCAAAGCACTGAGTTCAGAGCAAGTCTTCTCTTTCAAGAATGGGGATCGAGGCAAAGGGGAGGGGAGGGAGGGCAAGACCGAGGGAGTCAGAGTAGACCCAAACCAGCATATGCTTTTATCCGCGTTTGGAGTGTAGAAGAGAGAAAGAGAGAGAAAGAGAGAGAGAGAGAGAGAGAGAGAGAGAGAGAGAGAGAGAGAGAGAGAAGAGAGAAAAGACAGAAAGAGAGAGAGAGAGAAAATGGTGCATATGTGGGTGTTCTAACACAAGTGTATGTTTGTTAGTGAGAATACACTGCAGAAAATATGTGGAGATACTCATGGACTACTGATTGGATCTTCCACAAGCCGTACCGAGGAGAAGTCAATTCGCATTCCAGAGGCACATAATGGGGCCTGTAGGGGGTCTGTCGGAGTAGCACAGAAATGCCAAAGCAGGTACATAGTGCAGTTAAGAGGGCACTTTGTGGCAGATGGCCAGCAGAACACAGACAAAGGCAGGAATCACATGGATGGCATGTTCTTCTCCACCATAAATCTGTTGTTAACATGCAGTATCTCTGTGTCTGTTTTTCCTCCTCCCCTGCCTACTGTACGCCAGCCCCAAGTCACTTTCTCCAGTTTGCTAGGAGACTAAATGTGAAAATCAAAGTGAATGGCATTAGGGTAAATAAGACCACTGGTTGCCTGGGAAACAGTGTACCCTGCCCCACTCACTCAAGCCTAGCCTTTACTTTTCTTCCATCACTGGAGAGCAATAATACATTATTGACAGAGGGCCACAACAGGCAGCGGTGCAGCATTTCAAATTGTATTTGAACAGAGAGATTTGCTGTTAGAAGATACACAAGGTAAATGAAAGAAAGTAAAGCACACAGATAGACAAGGGGGGCTGGAAGAGGCAGAGAGAGATTCAGAAACACAGCCCATTCACGCTACCATAACCATCAATCTGCCATCTACCCCAGGCTTCCTCCTTTGAACCCTGCTGGAATCTGGTAGAGCTGACTTGAATAGTTAACAAGATGTGAATAAGTTATACATGTTTACAATGATTTTTTAAAAAAGAATACCAGTTATTTTAGAAAAATGTCTTACCATACAGCAAGTGCTTATTTCTTCGGCATAAATGTTTGCTTGAAATTTTGTGTTATTTATTAGAACAGTTTCCCACACTTGTTTCTGCAGTTAGCATTTAGTTGAAGCTGTTATTTTGATATAAAATGCATTTTTGTAAAAAAAAAAACAATACCGCATGCAGTCTCGTGTATCTTTTTTTAAAGGAAACCAGAGTCATACAGACATTCTACAAAGTAAGTAAACCAGAGTCATACAGACATTCTACAACAATTTAGTGGAAATCTGGAGACATGTTCTTTATAAGTCCGTAGGGTGTGCTTATGTTGATGGCACACCACCTGAAGATCATAAATGTTTATATAGAATCCAACCAACTTAAAGAGTCACTTCTCCAAGCCGTAGTTTTCACCCTCCTGTTTGAATGTGATTATTCTGGTTATCCATGTAGAGTTTAAGAATATCTAAAACTTACCAGGCTAATTAACAGAAACATTCCTAAATTTATGTTGTATACTTTAAAAAATGCAACAAAAAATAAAAGAGTTTAGAAGATTTGTTTAGAGTGTTCAAAAGTTCTGCACCACATTTGGCCACATAACTCAAGTGACAAACACTAAACCGATTGTTCAAGCTTAGAATAATTATTATAAATTAGTCTTAGCTGACTTGTAGTAAAGAAAATAACCAAAATCGGTTTTTTTTAATATGGTAAAAAAACAACATTTTTTTCATAATTGTTTGATGAAATAAATGTGTGCAATTAAATCAGTTCTTCACAGTTAATATTCAACATACAGAGCCCATCAGTGGATCAATATAAAGTATCTTAGTGTCAGGAGTACTGAAGCAAAGTAGTGTGGATGTAGCAGTCTGTGGAGAACACAACAAGAACACGATAGGGAGAAACTTACCTGTTTTCTCTTTGATCTCACACAGAACACTGAAGAGGGCTGGCTTCATTCTGTGACAGTTCAGGGCATGCTTCCTGTAAGAGAGGACAAGGGGTAAGAGAGGGGGAGAGCAGGAGGGCTACGATAAACAGACCTCCATCTCAAGTCAAACCATGTCCTCCTCCATAAGTCGGCAGGAGAGCAGGATGTATAATGCATGCCGAATTTAGAAATTAATGCAACATAGCAGGACAGCACTCTGATGTCTAAAGGTATTTCCACTATCCATACGCCTTTCTCCATGCATTTAGATCCATAATACTTCAGTCTGAACCTACAAGAGTAATCTTGTCATTTGGATGCTTTGCACTGTGGGAGAGGTAATGATGCCAAACCTCAAGGTCATCATTACTGAGCACCAGATTCCACAGTTAATACACAGTAATCTAATTTCTACCCTTTACAAAAGACCTGTTCCATTTAAGTAAATTGCAAGTTGATAGAAGAGCAGTATTGAGTTTCATATTTAATTTATTTAGAGACACCGTCTTTTTTTGCTCTGCACACCAACAGCAATTAAAAGAGAAATACCCTAACTTCAAAAGTTCACCTGCAGTTCAGAGTAATCCAAATCTTACAATTACAACCTCGACATACAATAAGCAGTCACTACTTATCCTTGCCCCCACCCCCCACCCTCTCATTCCTAACTGACTGTTAAATCTTGTGAGAGTTGTCAGAGTTAGAGTGCAACAAATTTTAACATGAGCCTAGCCTGGTTGATACCACTGTCTCCATCTACTGTACACTGCACATTTATTACAGAAAAAACTTGCACGCATAAAACTACAGAACAAAAATCTATAAATTTTCCAGAATAAAAAGTATCCATTAAATGTGACTTCAGTTTTCAGCCAAGAAACAAATTCCAACCCAGGTTAACTTTATCACATATGCAGTGTGTAATAGAAGGCTTTCACTCCTGATTTGCAAGTATTCCAGTTAAACCATTTGATTATGGAATAATTATTATATCAATCTCCTACAATTTATCATCTCCATACATGGGGGAAAAATAGTTACCAGGAACAGTCCTATTGTTTATCATCAAAACTATGACTCAAAAGAGGTGTGACCGTTCTCTGACCCAAAGTCAGCGTCTGGTAAGCTTCCTTATATAAACAATAGCTATTTCTATTTGGACCTTTGCCTCTTTTCATACTTTAATACTTTTTTAAAAAAAAAACAAACAAAAAAAAAAAACATCTTGCATCTAAGTTTTAATTATGCAGAAGAAAACTAAACCAAAATATTAACCCACACTAAAATGTGTTTTGTTTATGTTTCAGTCTTACAACAACAAATTTAAGTTTGAGTACATTCGTAACATCTCAATTCACACGCAGGTGGTGAGGAGGAAGGGGAAAAAACACCAAAACAATAGGGCGGACCTTTGCCAAGAGGTAGGAGGTAGCAATGTAAACAAGTTAACTTAAGAACAATAACCACAGGCTTTGGTGTTAACCACCTTTTATTGCTGTTTTTGTTCCACTTGAGTAATAGTGTTATAGTGAGTTATAGTGTTTTTACACTTTGCAGTAAATATTAAAAAAATGATATCAATACATTAAAAGGCACCACAATTTTATTTAAGAGGCCTGTAAAAGCAAACAACTGTTTGAATACAGATGTAATTTATAACGTACGTATGTTTCAGTCAAAGCCATTTTGACAAATTAACATGTGCAACACAGTCAGGGTTAAAATAAAAAACCAAAATAATTCCTGTTATTGAAGACCATATGGGGGAATAGACAGTTAAAAAAAACACAAAAGGCTGTTATGAAAAAAGAAGAAGAAAAGTTTCCAATTGAACATTACAAAAACACAGATGAAAGTGGTTTTGCTTTGTTTGACCTTAACGGTTTTAGTTGCTAACATCCTTAGCTGTAATACTATGGGGCCAAGGTGAACTGGCAAATTGTGCACCAACCACAGATGCTGCAAACAACTGCTAATTCATGAGATTATTAGGACAACATGATGTGAAGCTAATGTGTCTTCCATTAAATAAGTCATTTTGCCCACCATTTCTGTCACTGCTATATTTGGTTGGGGGAGGGAACCTTTTAGCACTGAGTATAAACAGGAGGGGCAGAAGGAGGTGCTCATGCGGTCCTGTACTGACCTGTGCTGGAAGTTGAGTGGCAGGCCACCCCCTGCCATGCACCCCCCTTTTCTCCCTCCCTCTGTAGGGTCGTCCGATCCACCCCAATGCACTGGCGAGTCCTCTGGCCAGCATCTGAACATATGGTGACAGGGTGAGAGGATGAGGGCGAATGGAGTGCAGGAAGTGTACTCTGCAACACCAAATTTTTACGTTGCCCTGACCACTCTCCATCCTAACACACTGCCACCCTGCATGTAAGGCCATCATGCTCAAGTTAGCTATCCTAGAGCGCAATGAGAGAAAAAATTATGTGTGGCTGACAATCCTAATCAGAATCAAGCTGGGATGTTGATAAATTTTACAATTTTGAGAGGTACCAGCTGCTCTATATTAGCAAATATGTCTATAACAACAGGCTGCATCTTTTCAACAATTTGTTCTGACCCCAAAACTAGGAATACATTTAAGTAAAAGTAGAAAAAAAGGTAAAAAAAAAAGAAGGGAAATGCTCCACGATTACCCATAGTCTGTTTGCCTGTTAATAATAAACATATGGTATTCATAACAATATAGCATGTTCAAAATACCTAAAGGTTTAAATCAACACTTTGCAAACAAGGCAGACTAGTGTGTAGTAGGTCTGCAGATCTAAAAAAGATTGCATTGTTGTTATGAGATTAATCTTGCACACTTATATAGCTAGGACATTCGATGAGATAGGAGTTCAGATCAATACATGCACACAAGGATATGTCCAGCACTTCCACAGCAGCCACACCTTAAAATACTTGTTCAGAATAGTTGGTTAACATAATTTAACATTTAATTTAAGATGCAGCAAAAAATAAATGTTCCCATTTAACCAATAGAATGAGATTTTTCTGGATATGTGTAAAAAAATACACAACTCATAAGACAAAACATGATGTAACTTACAGAATGGACCCAGTTTTCTCAAAATTAAATAAAAATGTACTTGGGCACAAAATTGAACCTGATTAAGTCCTCAAACTTGTGGTGAGGAAAATGTATTATTGCATCGTTCATAGGCTGCTGTTTGGAGCATCATCCCTCCCCCTCACCACCATCTCATTAATAGAAACTCGATTTGCGGACAGCTGCACTCCCGTACACATTATAGGAGAATTGATTGCACCCAGCACACAATGAAAAGGATGAACACCAGGGAGGGAGGGAGTGGAAGAGGAGTGAATTAATTAAGAGAACCAGGTGGTCAAATGTTGGGTGGAAAATCACTAGCTAATGACACATCACACTGTGGCCACAGTCTTGCAGTGGACCGTTGTCTATTGTTGAAATACTGACGCTTATTCTGAACTGACCTTATGCTCTTTGGGCCACATGGCAAATGAGTGCGAGTGATTCGCTGACTGCGATGCATATCCCCCCCCCCAACAATGATTTCCCCCCAAAACATGTCAAACGCAAACATTAAGAGACAAGTGATAGGAATGACTGATTGCTGTCATCACGGGCAACACAGCGCTGAAACGTTGGGCAGCTGACTAATCCGTATCCTTACCTTAATGCATCCGCTCATTTGCATTTCAATGACTAATGTTATCGACACTCATTGATGTAGAGGCGAATCAGATACGTGCTGTTATAATTAGGCAAACCTAATTTAGTATTGTCTAATTACTCAAATGGTGTAGCTTTTGATACATGACCAGGAAACTATTTTACATGGCACTGGCAACAACAGTTAACGTAACACTAAACGCTTATTTGTTGTTGACTAGACTTTGTGGAGTAAAAATAGATGGCGAAAAACATAAAGTGGTGTCGTTAACTTTCAACGGGTCTGACTGTAATTCAGTAAAAAAAAAATGTACAAGTTAATCGCGCAAAGGTAAATAAACAACTTCGTTTTCGAAACATGCGATCATCTAGTTTGGGGAAATTATGACTTTATATACGTTCATGTTCTACGTTCATAATCTGAACTTTTAATGTGTCACGTAATTAGTAAAGTAATTATGACGACGGCTACATATACTGATCAAGAAAACAAAACAGGATTACAACAACAGTTGGAAATGGACCACGTTTTGAATTAACAAAGAACCTCTTCTCAAGGTACAACAGCGCGGAAATGTGTTGAAGTTATTGTGTAAATAAAGGTGGCTTTGTTGTTTTAGAGTGGAATGTAAAGAGTGAAGAGGTGAGTGTTGTTTGTGTTGCAACCGTGAATTGCGTAATGTGAATGTTGCATTTAAAAACTAGGCTCAGAAAACAAAAGTAAAACATACACTGCTCACTTTAACACAGCTATCACGAGTGGAAAATGGCTCTTCGCTCGTCTTACCTGGCCTGTGCTTCGTCCAGGCTTTCGTCAGTGATGGCCATTATTTGCTGTAGGATATCCCCAATGTCTTGTTGGGGCTGACCGAGGGACTGCTGTTTCCTGACCGAGTCCGGATCGCCGACGTCGGCTTGCGATAGTCCACCGAGTCCGGTGAGACCCGTCATCATCCTGGTCTGATCATCCATACTTCAAAGAAAACTCGTCGTTTTCTTCAGTCAAATAACACGCACAAATAGCTAGCCTGTTAGCTAGCCAGCAAAGTATTTTCTGCGACAACTCATACAATAATGCGTACCCTTACCCGAGGATAACAATTAGTAAACAATAAAGGGTTGTTGTTGTTGTTGTCATAAAACCAACTGCACAAATAGCCTTTTACATTCGCGTGTTTCCCCCTCCTCTGGTCTATAAACGCGGTCGGGCTAGCGTTAGCTCACCACCGAGTGAAAAGCAGCTAGGTTAGTAGCTGAATCCCAGCAGCAGAAAAGCAGCAGGGACACACATGCACGGACTGTGTGAGCTTGCCAACAGCGCCTCGCACATTTTCGGAAAATACCCAGAGGAAGAAAATAACCGAGGTGACTACCCTCGGTTTAATACATATATACATATATATCACGATAAAAATGAAGAAAAAAATAATAAAGCGACAAAGCTTTTAATGGCCTCCCTACCAGTCAGAGATGTGCTATTCAAACGGTACCGTTTGCCATTGTTGTGGAGTGTCGCGCGACTAAGTGGGATGATCTGTGCTGCGCGAGCGCGTTGACCATTGAACTCGTATCAGCACCACACAGAGCTGGAGCCTGTGGGTTGGTCTGTCACTACTATAGAAAAGACCCCTATAGATGTGTAGATGCATGAGCACATTTATGCCCGAAAACAAAGTGTTAAGTTTTCCTAACACATCCCCGCGGGTCTCCAAGTTTAATTGTCCCTCAGTAACAGCCTTAATAAGGTTGCTACCACTGTTACCGGTCTTCTTGTATGATAATGCCCCTAAATAGGAATTGAAAAACCCACGTCTGGAAGAAAAACAAACCTTGATGGTAATTATGTATAATAGTGTTAACTTTATGGCCATGACCTTATCCTGTTTCATTTTGCTCCAAAAGTAAGAAGTCAACTTAAAAAAAAGATAAAATGCATTTTTTTAAAAAGGCTAAATAGTTTCTGTCGCATAATTCGGTATATAAGCAATTGTTTGCAACTGATAGGCATTGCATTATGTAAAATTCCAGACATAAAAGTAAGGAAATGACTCATAGTTGGAGAAGGCTGTGTAATACATTTCATAGCAAATATAATAAATACAATTTTGTTTTAAAGTCATTTCTTTTTATGGGGCAAAACAGGGATGTGGGACAGGAGTTTCGTTTGAAAAATAACTGATACAATTTATTTTGTTGCAGACTATTGTTGCAGTGTGTGGTTCCATTTCTGTTTGCATATAACTTAATGTTACTTGAAGCTACAGTATGTCTTTCCCAATTTACAATGTTTATATATTAAAAACATGACAATACTTGCTATGGCAGGATTCAAGTCTTGATTCTGATTTTTCATCACATTATAGAACCTGATGATCCAAATTGAAGAGAATTTGTGAATATGGCTTGTGATTGATAGAACATGAACATCTACTACAGGCTAGGCAATGGTGAGCATTGTTAATATCAACAAATCCATGGGCAGGTTATGTGGGTGCTGTGGGCTGTAGAAACCTGTAGGTTGGACTGGTGTTTGCTGCTTTAGAAAACTTTAGAAATTATAACATAGAGTTAAGATAAATTTACTTCTTACAACAAAATGTGTTTTTATGCACATCTTTGCAACAACAACACACAAAACAAATCATACAAGGCAATAGCTAGTTGCCAAATTTAATTACCAAAATATTAATCCATAGTTCTACTTCATACCCTGAAATTTATAATAGAAATCAGTAATGGGTGGATGCATCCAATGGCAGGACAAACCCAAGCTCCTGTTGGATCATAGGACTGTCAATCATGCACATTCCCCATATTACCTCAGTCTGTCTAGTTTTGCTCTATAGGTATGATTTAATTCATTTGTAATTTACAAAATAACATTAGGGTTTTTTTTAGAAGTTAACCTAAAACTTGTGATTGAGAACAAGCAAAAGGCAGACCCACTGCCTTTGGAATCACAACAATATGCACCGATTTCAATAGCTTTACGTACCTCAGAGGCATGTCTTCCTGTTTCTCACAATAAACTATGACATTAATATGGCCTCTACCAATTGTTAATTAAAAAGTAACATCAACACCTACCTTACTGGGCATAATAAGGCAATACCAGTGCACACTAACCTAGGGACATCATTCTTTCGACCCTGATGAATGAAACATCCCATCAGTTCTCAGTATGAAAATGTTGACAGCACAGATTGAAAACAAGTGTCCTTGTTTTTTTGCAAACTGGGCAATTCTGTTGTAGTTTATCACTCAGATCCGAAAGACAGCTTTCCAAGATGAATGACTGGCCCAATGGAGGTGGAAGAGAGCTACAGCCAGTCTTGTTGCAAAAAGAGATGATGGGTGTGCATGAGGGAGTAGGACCAAACTGGCAGTGGTTTATGCTGACTCTCCACACATCCATCTAATGCAATCTGTGGCTAATCAATCTAAAGTTAGAGACAACAAGAATAGAGAATACAGCACACAGTAATTGTTCTTTGAATGTGCATACAGTACAGTGCACACCACAGCTCAGGCATTTCATCTGGTATCACAAACTGCTGTTCTGTACTGCTTCACTTTTTTCCCCCAGTAAAATACATGGAAAAACCCAACAACTAAATAAACAACATGGATAAAAAAAACAAACAAACATATTTTTCTGCAGAAGTATATTTATTGTAATTATGCCTAAACATTCTCTATTTATAGCTCTATTGTCTTAAATGACCTGCATTGGAAGCAAAGTTATCAGTGGTCTCGTAAATATTTAAAGTTTTATCGTTTGTGATTCATCTAGGATCATTTCTGTGAAACCACTATTCATTTGAATGCTAAAGCTGCCCTCCTCTCACCCCACAAGACATCAAGCCTCATTTTCATCTAAATAAGAATCGATCTCTCCTGCCGTGTAGCATCCTCCTTTACTCACAACTCTTATGGTCACAACCCCACTTGTCTTCTCTTCTCTTTACTTGTCCTTCTGCCTTATATCCCATCTCTTAGACAAAACAGGGAGATAAAAAAAAAATACAACGCAGAAGATCATAATTGCAGAGCCAGCATCATTCACCCTGTTTACAACACTAAATAAAGATTTTATTTTTTTAAGTGTTTTGAGTAAAACGAGCATGGAAATTAATTAGTAAATGGCTCAATGAGATAAGTGATAATGAACAAAGCTTTGGCTGACTGGTACAATGTCAAAGCTTCGTTTTGCATCACTGACTGAGCCAAGCAAGATGGGGGTGAGTCACTGTGGGGGAGGGGCCTCCTACAGAATGGTCAGGGGACACAGATGAAGCGAAAGAGATGCAGCACCAGAAGAGGGTAAATGTGAACGAGCATGGTTCTAGACAGCAAGCAAACTCCATAGTATAATCCTAATGTCCCTCAATAAGAGCTTTGTTAAACCCATTAATTGAATATTTCCCTGTCTGTGCTAAGAAAAGCATGCTACTTAACTTAAATTATGTTTTTTGTAAAAATTGTCTAGTCTTTACATAATTAATTGAGAGTGTACTGTCCCATTACTTCATGCACACCAGTTCATTTTGAAAGAGTTTTCAAATCATAATTATTTTTAGTTTATTATTTTCACAATTGAAGACGGATAAAAGAAATGTGATGAATGATTTTATTTAAGTTCAGTTTCTCATTAGCTATTTTGTAACATTTAGTTATTTTCAAGACAAAAAAAGGTGCTTACGTCAACTTTTAAATAATAAAGAGTAACCCAGTCAATAAGCGGTTCACCCAATGTTTATGCAGCTAACTACCCCCACCTGCTGGTAAAGTACATGTACTACTCACTGTTGCCACAATGACAGTCTCGAAGCTGTCTTGGTTTGTAAAATGAAACACAAGCTAACCTAAAATTTATATTTAAATGAAAAGAAAAAAAAATCGAGCTAAGATTGTTGTTTAAAACCACAAAAGCAATACAACACATATACATCATATACAAATATTGTTGGGAGATCTTTTCCCCCAATATAAAGCTTCTGCAGTAATTATAAAGTTGCGAAGGAGGAAGGTACTAACATCAGGTTCTTCAAGGAATCAGGTGAAAGGTCCTGAAGTCCTGCCTCTGCCACTGTAAAATAAAATCTGGATTAAACGTTGAACTGAATGAACAAAAAAAAAAGTACTTGGATAATTTCAAACAGGATAATTTCAATTAATTATTACCCAATCGACGGCTGGTCTCTTTCACCAACAACTCCGACTGTTTCTTGACTGAGAGAAGTTCTCTAACTATCTTACACTGAGTGTCCATCTACAGATAAAAAGAGAAACAAGTAGAACAGACCATTAGACAACTAATTCAAGTTAACTTGTTATAATTAGGTCTTAGGCCCGAGCAATCCAGTAGTAGTCTCTATACCAGCGGTAAATTGATATACAATCAATTTAAAGTCCAGCATACAGTATTGGTTGTATTTTCCATTAAGTGCAGATTTTAAAAATATGAATGGTGGAAAGTGATTACACAAAAACTACATCTCCAACGCACAATCAATGCTACAGTGTGAAGCTTAGGCTCTTGTCTGCGGAGGAGATTGTAGTAATCCGGTTTGCTCTGAATGAACAAATGCTGTGAAGACTGGGTCACACATGTAGAGTCCAGGAATATGCCCCCCTCTTGGCCCTCCTCCACTTTTCTGAAACAAAAAGACAAGACTGAGTAAAAATCCACACCCAAACAGGAAAGGTTATGCACATGAAACAACAGTGCTTCAAATTTTCTTCTCTTCATACGCACACCTTTTCAGTTCCTCTGCTTTACATCGGTGTTTATTCAGTAGAGACTCCCATGTTACACTTTCTGCCTGAAGCCTACAACATATCACAACTTTAATAGGTCATAACACATATTTTTAGAGGTGAAAAAAACTATCAATTTACAACCAGTATACCTGTTGATTGCTTTCTGGATTTTTTCTGTGGCTTTCTGCACAGCTGGTTCGCAAGAACTGAAAACAATAGACATTAATGCAGTGTAACATATGGAGCTGCAGCCCAACCAACACATGTAATTAAATACATATTGCAAATTAATTAAACAAAAAGGCACAAATACATCGTTTCAGTAGAGGACTGGTGGCTCTGTGCTTCACTGCGAATGCTTTTGGCCAGATAACTCCACTCTTTCTCCATATGTTTGACTTAATCATATAAGGAAGGAAATATATTACATGATAAATATTAAAATTTCTGCAGACCTTTTTTAATTTTCTTGAACTACAAGATCCAACTTTTCTCACCTTGTTTTTGGAAACACTCAAGAGAAGTGTTTGACACACGCTGGAGAGAATTTTGAGCTCTGTCAAGTGCCAACTGAAATCAAAGCAGTAAGATTAGGATTAAGAAATCCTTTATTTGTCCCACAATAAGGAAATTTACAGTGTTGACAGTAGCAGAATACTGTACAAGGTATAAGAAGAAGAAGAAAGTGAATTATTTGTCATTATGACACAGCACACACAATGAAATATGACCTCTGTTTTTTACCCATCACCAAAGTGAACAGTGGGCAGCTTTTAAGCACCCAGGGAGCAGTGTGTGGGGACAGCGCCATGCACATTCAATATATCCAACCTTATCACACATTTTCCTACCTATGAACACTTACCCTCATGGAAGCCTCCATTAACTTTTCCAGCCTTTCCTGCTCTGACAAGGACGCACTTATGCTCCTGCATAAAACTGTACAAGCAAGTAAAACAGCATAACTATTCAAAGCCATGAAATACTGCATGCTATGTATACACAATGGCAACATAAATATAATTTTTTTTACCCCGATAGGGATTGGGAAGTGCAGGTAAAGAACGTCTGGTTAGAGTGGCCCTCCTCCAGGATTTCCCCAGTGCTGCAGGGTGGTCAGGAACACTTGGACCGTCAGTATTCTCCATGTTAATCAGCTGTTTCTCTGTATCTGCGTCTGTATTGGCTTCCTCCGTATCTGGTGTCTGTGCACTGGACAACGGGGGCTCCAAACGGAGTGACTTGGGTGGCGTACCTGTGCCGACGCTGGCAGTCGAGCTTGTGGAGCATCTTTTAGATGCCACTGTGTTGACCTTCGTAGTCAGAGATTTAAAAAAAAGTAGTTACAGGAGTTACTATGCGAACTAGAAGCAGTTGTTGCTTGAGTTACATATTTCGGTACTGTGGGGGTTAGCTTTAATTATAATACAGAGCTCTTACTTCATTTTGATTCACTTCATTTGCAACACCCTGGGAGCTGCAGGAAATACATTAAAAAAACCTTAACGTTACATTAAAGGTAGAAAACACCACGATTTTATCGCTATGCTGAGGTAAACAACAGAAAATAGTGATACGACAAAGAAAAATACTGTCTGTTTAACTAAAATTGATACAAACCATCCGTTCGCTTCCAAACGTATTTCTTCCATTTTGACTTTTCAACTACTTCGCTTAGGAGTGTATTACAAAAAACAGAAGAACGGACGTCAAACATGGCCGCTGCTCAGCCGTAACAATTCGCATTGCGCGCCCATCAGAGAACCCAACCCATCTACTGAGCAAAGCATTATGGGAAATATAGTTCTCATATCGCTACAAAACGGAAATTAGAAGAGCGAAAAGTGTACTGAGACCGTTAGTGCAATTTACCTTCGCATATGCGTCTCTACAGCTAACGTTAACTCTTTTCAGAAGTTAAAATAATTCGTAGTTAGTTTTTCGTCTTAAATAATGAACATAGAGCTGTTGTGGTAAATAAGAAATTAGCCTTTGACAGTTGTTTGGCCTGGGCTGATGCATCTTTTTGAAAATATGAAATGAACTTGCAAATACTGCTTTCCTGTCCATCACTCAGATCAAGTACAACAGAGTTTTCCGTCATGAATTGCTGCCACGATACATGCTACGTTCCATAACTGGCTCTTCTCAGGGGACACCAAAAATGTTTTGACAGTGGAACTGTGTGATTGGAGGGTGAAAATAAAATGCCTTTATATAGGGTGCCCTATTAAGAATGTTTAAAAAAACCCTATTAAGGGTTTTTCTTGGAAGTTGTTTCTCAGCCGATGTGAGGGTCTATAAGGGCAGGGGGTGTTTACCATAGTTTTTAATATTTAACTGTTTGAACCACTGTAAAGCACATTGAGTTTGCTTTGTTACGGTGTCGTCCTTGCAAATGTTATTCATAGAGCACCGAGAAATTGGACCTTGACCAGAGTGACTTGACCAGAGTACTTTTGCCAACGAATGACTGACTTGACTTGACATGATTATTAATAAACACAGTCTAAGTGGACGGTGTTGATACCTTGCTACAGTCGTCCTATTGAAGTGATTGAATGAATGAGAAAAAGACTGTGTGGTGGAGGGTGTGAAAAAGTGAACCGAGTGAAAAGAAACTGTTCACATCTGCTATTTCGAAAAAAAAGGTCTGTTCAGTATTCGTTTCAAATAAAGGAGCAAAACTAAGAAACCCTTAGAGTTATTGTGTGTGAATGTAATGCCCTGAAACCCCTCTAGAGGGCGCCAGTCCTCTATAGTTCGTTCATTAGAAGACTCCTGTAGCTGAAACAAAACTGTGACATCAGTGTAATTCCGCAATACTATTTATTGAACACAGTCAGCGCTTAAAAAAAAAGGGCTCCAAAGCAAAATGCATGCGTGCATGCAAAGCATTGTGTGCAGTGAAAACAACTTTGCCTATTGGCTAAAGAAAAACAAATCATAGACTCAAATTACATTAAATAATGCATACTTAGATAACATAGGAAATATGTTTTGTTCATGCTCTACAGAAAACAAACGCAATCTTCAGAAGGCATGGCATACCTGGGTTCTGCCCTACTACTCTGACACTTGTTCCCCAAACATCACTAACTTATCCTTTCCCTCCTTATATCTACTTAAATAAACACTACGTGATACCCCACAGCCCTCTCCTCACAGGCTGAGCTCCATTATGTCACTGATCCTTTTTCCTGAGAAAGGCAAAGGAATTTGTGCCAATCCAGAACCCGGGATATATCTTCTCCTGGATCTCTACCTTGAACTTATGAATCAATCGCACTTCCTTTTCGGCCTCGCCCTCTACTACAAGGAACTTGATGATGCCGGCAGGCTGGTCGATGTACAGTCCCATGGTGTTGGTCAGGGGAAGGTGGACATCCACATTCTCGCCGTTGTGCCAGACCTGGTAGCAGGACCCAGACCAGCCAACACCCCAGGAGCCATTGTTCTCCCCTAGGCCACAGGCACCCTCCTGGCCCCTACGCGGTGCGCTCTCACAGACCATCCCGAGAACAACCCAGCCGTCATATTCCACCTCCCAGTAGCCACGAAGACCCTTCAGGTTCTCCTTACACAGGACCTAAAAAAGGTTGTTTTTTGCCAGAGTTAAATGAAGTTATTTTTTAAAATTAATTACAAATTCAAAATGTGTAGATGTGATATTCAACTTATATCGCATTTTATAGTTTAAAATAATAATAAAAAATTATTATTATTATTACATGTATTTTTCTTTTGACAAATGTTACAATTTAAACCACAAAATTTAGAAATCAGAATTATAGGAAAGAAGAATGTTGACTAGTTGACAAACTAATTGCAGGATTGTGCTACATATACAGTATATATATATATAATTTGTCTAGCTAACTGACTATCTATATAACTGATTTAAAAAGTCAGTACAATCAGTATTTATCAGCCCCCTCTGTAGCCAGACCTACCTGAGGTGCGTGTTCATATCTCTCAGGTCTGTTAGGATATGGACAGCTTGCATCAGACGTACGTGCCACTTTAGCCCCGCCCTCTGAAATCCACAGCAGCTTCTGTGCAGTTTTATCATCCAGGGAGATGTCAAACCAGTCTGAGAGAAAGGAGAGATAACAATCAACTCAGGGCATGGTGATCAATATACCTTATAATATAATTATGATATAATTCAGTAGAGTATTCATTACAATTCTTTTTTTTTTATTAGAAAGATGTGTTGAAAGGCATGAAAGTCTCTTCTATCTCTTTATTTCTATCAATTTCATAACTCGTGATTTTGGGCTTTCTCCCCCAAAAATATGAAAAAAAAACTTACATTTCATGAAATCGGCCCTGGTGATTGGTTCAGGGACATTGGGCTCATATGGAGGCAGCTTTTCTGAAGTGACAGACGGCGAAGAAAAACAAGGGAATTTCAGACAAGTGCAATAAAACTGTATCATAAGTGGGTGATTACATTTACATGACAACATCTATCTTGTTTAATGAACTGATCTCATTACATTTGGATGATTTATGAATACATTCCAGCAGCGATTTATTAGTGTTGCTCTTTACCTTCTGCCACAGCACTGTTTTTTCTCCCTGAAACAGAGAGAGATTGCGTTATTCTACCACATGTACAGCAGCTGTGAACAAATAGATACAGGGTGTTTTTATGGGATCTCCTTAGGGATTCCTCTCACAATACAGGTGTATAAAAATGAATTGCACAGTGTCATTCAGCATGGCACCAATAAGTCAACTGAAAACCCTCTCCTTTTTTTCTATGTGAGGCTTTCTCTTCATCAGAGTGTCTGTCAGGCAGCTATTCATCCTGCAAATCACCTGCTGCTCTCCACATGGGATAGATCACAGCAGAGAATGTGTGTAGTGGGGGCTAAGCACAGATTCATGAAGTTTCTTCACTGCTCTGGGTCTAGGTTTCCACATGAGGAATCCGGAGGCCCAAGCGTACGTTTGTTAGGCACACGCATCATGGCCACGGATGGACCGCAGCAGGAGTCTCATTCTAAGAATATACTTTTGCATGTTGCTGTTACTTCACACCGCCAAGGGCGCGTTTGTCGTGTCGTGGGATGGTGTGTAATCTGCTGTCCGTTTGTTCCTCCTCCAGTTTGTGAGTCATCGTGTGTCTCCTGACATTCTGAGGAAACTGGACGAGGACGGTCAGGTTGTCATCTATCATCGCTCCTGCGTAGGTCATGCAGGCTCGTGTTACCGCCTCTCATCTTTCGCACAGACAACTAAGATGATTTCCCATCATTCTTACCCACCAGGTGGGCAATTACGTCGTCACTTTAGCTTCATTAATGGGTTATGGTCGCCAAAATTAAACTTCATTTCTCGTCGTTTTATGTTTTTGTGTCATTCGACTTTCGTTACCTCATGGGCTCATGGTGCAATAATATTTTGTAGGATTAAAAACAATCTTTTGGGTCATAATGGGAGAGATAATTAGTTACAGTACATATTATTTCACCACCTGTTTTGGAGTGTCTTGTTTCAGCCTCACATTCAACACAATAAACCGATTTCTGTAGAACATTAGTTTTTCTTTCTCTAATAATTGGTTTGAAATAATGACATACATGTCAAGATGTGTGTTTGATGAATGTATATATTAACATAATAAATTAACATTTAAAATGTATTCATAGATTGAAAATTGAATATATATATTTTGAAAAGCAAAAGGTGACACATTTTGTCCGGTAATTACTAAATATATTTACCTACCACCCAAAGTGTTGGGTGTGTGTTCGGTGACACTAATTAAAACCTTACTCTGTTATCCTTGAATTTGCATCCTCATGCCTGAGGTGGAGTCAGGCGGGTGCAGCCTGTCGTTCCTGAGCCTGGGGAAATATAACCCATCCAGCCAGCATGACTCTCAGCAGGAGAGGACGCCGGTGGCACGGAAAGACGGGAGGATAAATGGGAGCGGGGTATAACTTCTGCAAACATCAGAGGCTGCTGTGGGGGAGGTATTGCTTTCTGTGAAACGTGTTATCCTTACGTTCTTGTGAATATTGAGAAGAGGTGTGGTGTTTTCGCTGAGTGAGCAGGCTAACTTTTGAATAGTGGGCCGCTGACGCAACAACCCTTTTTGGTACCACCTTTGAACATGTATAGACTTATGGTTAGTACTGTTGCAAATCAAACCCTTTCAGTGAATACAAACGACTGGTGCTAACTCATTACGAACATAACATGTGGTAACTGCAGGCAGGCGATATTGTGGGATGTCTGTAGTGTTTATGGGACAAGAAACAGTTGACAGAAAATGTGGTTTTATCAACAAGCCTATGGTACAGCAGCAGCTTGTTGGCTCCATAACACTGCATGGCAAATAGAGCGTGATCAGAAGAGGAAATATTTGGCACAAGGAGAGAAGAGGGACAGAGCGAAGATCAAGCATTTGTCACTGTAAACCACAAGGTTAAATAAAAAAGAAAGCAGATGACAGATCATTTCACTTGTTCCTGTAATCTGCCTCTGATTAAAGTAACACAGCAGGTGAGCTGGCAGATGGATAAAAGAAAAGTCACATGGTACAATGCATAACCGGGGTGGCCGGGCTTTAGGAGGAATTAAAAAGATGAGATTAGAAGGTAGAGAAATTCTATACTATGTATAAATTCAGATATTTGTGGCATCTGCCAAACCTTGGTAACCTATGATATGATGATCATCTTGGCCACGATTCAGATGATACAGGGGGGAAGACTGGGGTGAAGCGTTCCATCACCCCAGCTGCCCTTTGGAGTTTAAATCCGTTTGGATGCTTATCCACACTCCACAGCGGGATAAACAAGAAAGTCCCACAGAGGCCGAACTGATACTCAAAAAGATTGATGTGTTGACATTAAAGTGATAGAGAGATGAGAGACGGGCGGTCGTGGGAGGTCAATACTGAAGTGTGAGGTATAAAGATATTTAAGCACATGACCATTAAAGGCATTTTGTAAACCAATTGATTGACATTAGTATAACTATAAAAGGATGAAATGTCCTTACTTAGGAAAAGGTGTTGAATTTTGATATGACAACACACCCAGCTACAAGCCTTATCCACCCAAAACATGTCGCAAGTATTGAAGAGCTCAGCAGAAAAAAGGTCATCGTCGCTGGATCTCTACATGCTCGATGAAGTCCTGAGGCAGATATCTGCCCACTTTCCAGATTCACCTCTCAGTGGGATATCGCCACTTTATCTGAGCAGATCAGTTTCAAAATGCCCCACTGAGGCAGCAAGACCAAAATGTAGTTAGATGAGGGGGTGGACAGCAGGGAGGGGGGAATGAGGGAGATGAGTGAAGGTGGCGCGGACCTAGGCTTATCACTGTGGTCTCTGTCAAGTGTGAAAGCTCTCTGGGACTGTCATTACACTTGTGATAGGGAGATGGGGGAGAGATAAAAACAAGTGATGGCAGAGGTTTGATGAAAGAGTAGTTCTGGAGGGATGGAAGAATTCAGAAGCGATTATTGGCTGCCAAAAAACTTTGTGATGTTGACATATGGAATAATAAGTGAAAAATATTCACCAAAGGATTTAGCTAATTTAGTCAAAGCCTTTTATATTTGATACCTTACACGGAAGACTGACTTATATTTTAGATTGCAAACGGCTGTGCCTGATTTTACAGTCTATTACCCAACCACCCCCATGGACCAATTACTACATTTGAGGTGAGGAGTTATTAAAATGAACAAGAGTGAAACACAGAGAATGACTACATTGACAGTGCCTAAAAGACATCAACGAGGCAACGGGCACCACTTTGAGACAGACGGTTGACAGGCAGAAAAACAGGAAAGAAATGTGAGCACTGAAACTGCAGATGAGGCTTTGACATCGAGGAGGATTTTGTAAGTGACGCCACAAGTGCAGGAGAAACCGTAACCTCTCACAGAGGGAGGCTCTTTGGTGCGTTTTGTAGACATGATTAATGGTCCACAGAAAGCTGGCAGATTCCAAGGTGAGGATGGATATTTGGCTGCGTGCTGACTTTCAGGGTTGGTCAGCATGAGGTTTAATAACACGTAATAAACAACATAAGGAACACATAATAAATGGGTAATAAAAAGTGACAGGTGATAAATGATGTACCACCTCAGTCGTGACACATACTGATACTAAACTAACAGTATCGTTCCACAGTATTCTCTCACTAAGGCGGAATTATTCCCGACTACTGTGGGTAAGATGTTAGAGTTAGAGACATTTTGATGCTACTGAGCGTACGGAAAAATAATTTAACACCAATTTCAAATTAATTACATTTACTTTGATTTAAAAATAAACACATTTTCACCATGAAGCAACAGTAAAACTATGAAAAATTTGTGACTGATTTATTTCCCATTAATAAGTGCACAGATTAATTAAAGACAATGCTTCTGGCCCATTTGCCACACAGGGTATTTTCCCACAGGATCTCAGGTGAGGATGCTTCCCTACCTGCTTTGTTGGGCACAGGCATGACTTCTTGGGTGGTTGCGGTGCTGTTCAGTTAAAAAAAGTGGAGGTCTTGTGGTAGCAGTGCACCAGGGTCTCTGGAGGCTCTCTTATTAACTTCAAATAGTGTGGGGTGGGGGACATGGGGGTGCGTCAAATGAGCAGGGAGGAGTGAATGTGCATAAGTTTTGGTTGGATGTAACGGCTGCCCACAGAGAGTGCTGTCACGTGGAACTTCAGATCCTTTCCAGGGATCAGATGGAGGTAGACAAGCGAACACCCTCTATTCCCCGAGTATTCATGCTCATTTACATGCACATGGACCCTGCATGTGTGTAAGGCCTACACCCTACACGTCACAAACACATTCATATCAACTTTTAGAAGCTGCTGTAATGCAAACACCGCTGTCAGAAAGAGTTGCTTCACTTCTTAAAAATACAATTCAGATCAAACATGAACAGTGAAGACCACTTGGTTCCATTTGGCAAACGTGAAGTGATGCTTTTAACAAACTCGAAACAAGTTGGAGTAGAAGCAAAGTAACACAGAAAAGGACAAACATGTAACAATTTGAGAGAGTGTGTTACAAAAGAGCATCTACCACATAATCCGTTTTTACAATGCAGGACTTTAACACCAATGTTTCTCAGTGAAAGCTAGCAATCGATTTAGGCCTGTCGCCTTCAATAGTCAAAGAGAGTTATAAAAAAACAGTCTCCAAAGAGGAATTACATTAAGATTAGTGTGAAACACATATTGGCTCAGGACAATCTGAGCCCTAATCTTTTTTTTGGGGTGTTTTACAAATGAATGTACATTTTTTAAATGACAGGCCATGAGTACAGTGATATAATGTTATATTTATTTATAGTATTTTATGTTGGTGAGCGCAAAAAAAAAAACCCACAGGGGACAGGTGTAAGTTTCTGTACATGCAAATGTACAGATATATGTATGTCTTAAATAAAAAAAAAATTAAAACCTAAACTCTAAAATCATACCATAAAAAACCTCACACAAGCTTAATTATAGTGTCATGTTTTTAAGATTCGAAAAAAAAAGGAAAGATTACACCTTTACATGCACATGCGATAGTGGTGAAAAAATCCTTTATTTACCGACTGGCAGTCGTCACAGTAGCACTTCATCACTGTTTACAGGACGTGTTTATGCAAAGTTTGCAGTGGTGTGTTCTCTTTCACCTTCCTGCTGTAATAGAAAATTGTAATTAAAAACCAAAAGGGAATAGTGAGTACCACGCTTTTCCATCTACCAACTGACAGCGCAGCCAGCATGTGACCCACAGACTGACAGACTGAAACTGAGACAACATCTCTTCCTTCTCGCCCACATTTGCCAAACGAAGCTGAGTGAAATATTTTTCCTGAATAAGATGGCAAAAGATAATCTATCTTCATCACTCCACGGCCTGCATGGACCCCACACAGGCACAAAGTGTGGACAGCACATAATTACAAGCTGCCCTTTGCCCACATATAGGCAAATAATGTGGGGCCCTCATGAAACCTGCAAACAAACCCAAATGTGCCCCACATACAAATGCTATCTGGGGTCAACAGTCGTGGACTAAAATGTCTTCACCAAATGAAAAGCAATAAAGATTTAGTTTCAGTCATTAAATTTTAGTGGCGATCTTCTTCACAGAGCCATAGGTCATGTTGACTGGGTTCAGATGCTTTCCTTGATGGGTGCATATGAATTAATAGAAACTATACCAGGAACGAAAGAAGAAGAAAAAAACAGCTCTGTCATCTGGAAGTGTCTTGCTGTGATTTGAAGAATTTTGATGAAGGGTTACACCCACCTAGCTGTGGATCCTCTAATACCCCTGTGTGAGAGATGAAAACAAATTTCAACACCTGCTGCCTACTGCTGTGTGAAGGGGGCTTAAAGAGTGTTTACCAGGACCACAGAGAATCTTTGAGGGGCTATGAAAAACAACATATACTCAGCCATCACCATGCATTATCCCCGGGTATCCTTTCACGCATATCGTGTTACTTCATTACATAAAAGCATGGTTTTACAGTGCACGCTGCCAGCGATACAGTACAATTGGTGGAGCCGTGTAATCTATGAAGGCCGTCTGCCCTGTCAAGACCTTATAGTTTTTTGGGCTCCGGTTGATTGACAGGACAGCTGCTTTCTCCTTCTCACTTCCATCTCTGTTTTTGGCCCAAACACTATATAGCTTCTATGTCCCAAACAAACCAAAGGCTCTCAAACGGCCAGTGCTCATTATTTAAAGAGACCTTTGAATAAGTTCTCTTTACTTAGTGCAACAAAAAATATAATAATTTTATAATATTGGACATTTACAACATAATAGAAAACCCCAAACTTATATATGAAAACAGATAGAGAGCAATCTGTTACTGGCACAAAGATTAAATGTTCACAAACATTTTGGAGCAAAATTCTTTTCTGTGTTTCCAAGTTTTTAATGTCTCAAAAATATTAAAACAAGTGCTACACAACAGGAGCCGGTGGCCAATGGGACACCACCGTGTATTTTTAATTTAGTCGCTCTCAATGAGGGGTGTAAAGCCAGTGACTCTACAGGACGACACACACACTTTTCCTCCTACCCTATTGCGTAAGTGTATAACTTTACAGCTATAGGGTGACAACTACTAGGGGCCACCTGTCAATTACTGTGCCCAGGGACCTGCTTAAAAAGTGGCCTAGGGACAGAGGTGATCATCAAGGATATGATGTGAGCTACAGGGGTCTGCTAACAGGACGATACTGTCATCAGAGTAAAGAAAGACAGCTTTGTCCATTCACACATCAGAGCCTTGTGTCTTTTGACAGGAACTTTGACATATGACGGTTACAGGTAAAGTTATTTGGACAAAAGTAACAAAAGCAGCTGTACCTTTACATGAGTCACGTCTGACTTTTCATCTTCATCACCCTGGTCTCCTGCTCTCAGGACCTCCTGAGACACATCAAAAAGTAACACAGTTCAAATATTTAATACCAACACGCCTTATCCATGAAAATATCCATAAAAAATGTGTTCAGTTGATTCCTAAAATAAAAGTAATTTATTATGATATGTAAAGGTCATCTACAGTGGTATATAATTCCCCATGAAGTTTACTCATACAACACTTTTGTAGTGACTCCGTCAAATATGTCTTTTTGCTGAGTAATAAAGATGGCGTCTTTTGTGGTGAAAAAACTGAACAAATATGACATAGTACACTATTATTATTTTTTTCGAAAACAGTAAAAATGTGTCCACATGTTTATGATTTCTTCAAAAAAAAAATAAAAAAAATAAAAAATAAGCACGCTAACAGATACAAAACCCAAGGGTTCTATTAGTTAAAATGGGAAAAAACAGGAAGGAGACAAAATCAGTAAAATCGGGATATTAGACTTTTTAATTACAGCTTAACTTTACTCTTAAAGGAATGAAACTGTACATTTCATCTGCCACAGCAGTTCATCTTCATCATGCACCACACCAACACAGAGGAGAGGAGGAAAAATATCATTAGAGTAACCACTTTAGAACTGAGCATCATCAATAAACCACGCATGCTTTGAGTGTCTACTTTTACAGTGTGGAAACAACAGGTCAAAATGGGCTGACCCCACAGCTTCGGTGCAACATAAACCTTGTAACTGCTTCTAAATCACTCCGAGTCGTGGTGCTGTCACCTGCTCACCTGCACCACACATGCACATTCAGTAATGCTGACATGGCTGGCCTCCAACAGACCAACAGCCATAAGATTTATGGGTAACTGCTGCTGTGCACGCGGCAGTGTGTTTCATATATGTTGCTCTCCTCTTCTCTCCTTT